TTTTGACTTATTCTTCCTGTTTAAATCATTATTCTAGTTCACTGTTCACCGTCTAAATAAAACAAACTTAGATCACTTACATGTCATGGACAAAAACCCCCCAGTAAAGGGCACTGTAGAATTCTTAATGTCTTTACTTCTCACTCCAACTTTCTTAACATTGTGGAAAACAACTGGCATTGCTCACATAATGGGAACCCTTGGATCAGAATTTGGATGCTCCATAAAAAACTTGGCCTTAGCTCTTAAAAATTGGAGCTGGGAGGTTTTTGGTGATATTAGTAAGAAAGTTGCTGAGGCTGAAGAAGTGGTTAATAGAAGAGAGGAAGAATATTTCAATGATTTAATTGAGATGGGGAGTTGGCTGCTACACAGGATTCTTTGAATGAGGTTATCCGATTTGAGGAAGACTTTTTAAAATAGAAGGTTGTGGGACACTTATTTACTGATGGAGATAGAAACTCTTCTTGTTTCAATGCATTTTTCAAGAAAAAGGCAGAATATTTAATAATATCAGCAAAATCTGGGAACACAAATTCACAAGGGAAGAAAGAAATGTCATCTTTTTGAAGGGGTGAGTTAGAAGGTTACTAGTAGATTGAATGCTTTGGAGAACAACTTCCTTACCTATGGTGGTGGACTCAACTTTACTCAAAAGTATCCTCACCACTGTCCCATTATACTGCATCCAAAGTATTTTAAAAAGTTCTTATGGAGTGGCAATTCTTCCAACATTCATCAGATCAAATGGAGAAAAGTTTGTAAGACAATTCAACAAGGTGGACTTGGATTCAGATCAATTGAAGACACAATGCACATAAGTTTTATAAAGTTATGGATTAATTTAGGGACAAATAGGACTCTTTGCGCTGAACTTATGTGGAGAAAATATTACATTTGCAAAAAAGACTCTTTGCGCTGAACTTATGTGGAGAAAATATTTCATTTGCAGAAAAACTATAGTATGTACCCTTCAATTGCTAGATTCTCTTATCTGGAAACAAATGTTGGATCATAAGGAGGTTGTTGAACAATTCATAAAGTGGGAGTTGGGTGAGGGAAAATTGAACATCTTATTTGATGACTAGTCACCTTGGAGACTACTTGTTGACTTGTATGGGGGCCTCGTCATCTAATTTTTATGGTTAAGGATTGCTGGAGTGATGGTACTTGGGACCTTCTAAAGCTTCATTAGCTCCTTCCCTCTAATGAAGGAAGGTGTATCAACAGATTACCTTTTAATAGTCAAAAGAAGGATGAGTTAATTTTTAAAATTGGGGCTCAATTATCTATGAATAAAACCATTGCTCAAGGAATTTCTCAATCTCATACCCATGATAACTGTGAGTGGCTCTGGAACGAGTTATTGAAGCCATCTATTCCATTGTTTGCTTAGATAATTCCACATTCAGAGTTTCCCGATGATGACATTCTCAAACTGAAGGGACTTGAAATCCCTTCTATCTCTTTATTATATAGGTGTGAGGAGGAATCTCTAACTCACATGCTGTTACAGTGTGACTTCACTCACCGAATATGGAGTAAGTTTTATAATATTTGAGGGAATTGTTTGCCTACCAGGTTGTTCAGCTCCATAAGAGATTGATGGTTTGAATGGGGTGTCGATTCCAACCTTCAATTATTGTGATTCTTATTGTGCTGTGCTGGTTTTTATGGATGGCTGAAAACTCCGTCAAACATGGAGGTATAGCTTGTCTTCCCTCTATTTCTAAAGCGTTTTCAAACATTATTGCCTATATGCATAAAGTATTCAAATTTATAGGGTTTAAACAAAAATTCAAAGCAAGTGGAGTTGGTATACGAAGCTTAATTTTTTATTGGATCACATAGATTAAATTGACTCTTATGTAGGTGCTTCAAAAGGCCATACATAATTATTTGAATTAATCATTTGAAATATATAAGTTCTTGAATAAAAATAATTGATTATGCAGGGTTGAGGGAATTGATTTTCAATTAAATGATGATTGAATAACAATATGAGACAATAACAGAAAGTACCTTAGTTAAATATAATTAAAAAAGATTAATAAATGACTATTAATAATGACACAATGAAGCTTAACCCTAATATGAATATATAAAGCTATTAAATTGACAATATTTTATTTCAGTGCTAGCCATTAGAGCTAGCTAACCACCACCTTTATCATCTTGAAATATGCTACAATTGATGTCCCCAAAAATATTCCAAGCCTAATCAATGTTCCCAAAAGTAGAGTTGGTTATGATCAAAGGTCTCTTCTTTCATATTAAAAATTAGAAGCACAAAATATCGTTGGAAAGAGTTGTAGAGCTAAAGAAGAGAACTTTTCCATTAATGAACAAATTTAGAGATAATAGTGGAGTAAACTTCATACAAAACATAATTCTATTGATCTAAGCCGCTGCCTTATGCAATAATTCATGTCCCAAAAAATAATCCAAGCAACATTAATGTTCCCAAAAATAGAGTTGGTATATGATCTAAGTTATCTTCTCCCATATTAAGAATAGGAAGCACAAAATGCCATAAGAAAGAATTGTGAAGTTAAAGAAGAGAACCTTATCATTATTGAGCACATTTTTTCAAAAAAATGAAGTATTGAGCAGAAAACATAATTCAATTGTTCTAGATTTTTTTAACTATATGAAATTTATTATTGTTTTTTCATTGACAAGAATTGAACAAGTAATATTGAACAACTAATTTAATTCTTGGATAAATAACTTTTTCTCTAAAAGATGAAATGTCAAGCTTGTGGTATTTGTAGGTTTTTTTCCTTTGAATACTCTTCTATTTTCATGAAACCATTCAATACTATGTTTTATTCAAAAATTTATCTCACATTCCAAGTTACATTATTGGTTAAATTCATTAATAATTTAGTCCAAATAAGTGTTTGGATTCAATAGACAATAAAAGAAGCTTGTATGAAATTTAGGCTCTTCAAGTGGGTGAATGTAGAAGGTTAAAATAGATATAGTGTAGTAGTATTCTCATATGTTAAGAGAACAATTCATATGGCGTTGGACATAGGATATGTGACAAGTATATGTCATCTTTCATTGACTTGAACATATAAAGACTTATTCTAATATATGATTTAGGCTACACCTATTTCAATGCTCTAGATGATGTAGTTTCATGGCGGGCCCAAAAAAAAATTATATTAAAAAAAAATAGAAGGATAAAGAGATAACTAATTGTAATATGGTGATGGCATTATTTAATCAAGTGAATATGTTTATTATGTTTAATTTTTTCAGACACGTTATATTAGAAATGTAAAACTAGGAGGTGGCTGGTGGAGGCCCTCACCAGCCCTAGATTCTTACTAATTTCTCTATTATATGATACATTGAAAATTATAACCAATAAATTTAAATACATACATAATAATTTAATACTAGCTACCTTTTTATTTAATAAATGCTAGTATTAATAATAGTTTTAGAAATTATTTAACGAGATAATAACTTAAAATTTAAATAGTCGTCATCTCTCTTCTGAAGTTTTAATTCAGCTACGGTCTATTAGTATTAACCATTGCCATTTAATTTTGTTAGAAGTTAAAAATTTTGATTTTGTTTGTACAGCTATACATGTTGGCTGGAATATGGAAGGCTGAAAGTGAACCAATTACATTTTTCAAGTAATAATGTAATACAAGTCCCTTTGGGTATAATGAACAATAAATCATAAGATATTTAGCTTAATTAAATTCAAAAACAAATAAAAAATGTGCTTTAATCACATGACAACAAATTCTTTGGCGTAATGCGACACGACTTTAACATAATGCCACACGAACTATATGTGGAAGGATAATTGGCAAATTTACCATCTTACTTTCAAAGAATAACATGTTAGGTTAGATAGTTCTATCATGTTAACTTTGTTTGTTATCATTTAATTTTTAATCAATCATAATTCTGCTTTAATTATTCTATTAGGTGGTGAAATCATAATTATTTGGTGAAAGAAATATAATATATTCCCTAAAAAGATATATAATGTATATAACTTGATTAGGTGGACCTAATCACTTGTAGAATTCTGATTTGAGTTGCTTTTTGAGGTTTGACCTTTAAGACAATTCCATACTTATTAATTTGCATACATTTTTTTTTTGTCTATGTATAATTTGTTATCCAACCTTTTTTTTTAGCAATGCAACTTCAAATTACTACCAGCAAATTTATCTAGTTTTGATTTTGGAAACAAAAAGCTTTTCATTATCTTTTTATTCATATCCAAGCATTCAAGTAGCAACACAATCTTGCCCTTTCAGACTCCACCGCTGCTCGACGAAAATCATTCAACAAGAACATTCACTATGAACATCCTTGATTTCCATAAGAGAAAACATTATATCAACACTCCTAATGCATTCGGAGTCCAATGATAGGACGCCACATGTCAAGTGGGCCCCACTGTTATACACTGGTATTGGCCAGTGTTAAAAATGGTGGAGCCGACTTAACACGTGGTCCCCCACCATTAGACTCTGAATGCATTAGGAGTCATGATATAATACTTTTTTTTTCCATAAAAGGTCAAGATGTAAATAAAAACAGCTCACCAGATCCGATCATCTTCATTTGATCTCCTCGCAATTATCTACAAAGCAGCATTTCAAAAACTTTATTTTTTCTTTTAGACGGCTCCAAAGAGATGGCTATTATGGGGTCCATCACATCTGTTCGACCTTTCAACAAATCTCCCACCCACTCTGTCCTTCTTCCACTACTACGAATTTTGGAACTTAAGCATCATCCCAATCTTGTTAGGTCTGCAAATTAATTACTTTCCAACCAGTCCTCCCTCGACTCCATCATAACCGTCACTATCAAAAGCTCCATAATTTAATCATATACAATTAACAAATCATTCAACCGTCATGCATTGCGGCTACACTCAATCAAACCATGAAATTCTGAAACATAATTAAGAGTTATTTGCCAGTTTTTTACGACACAACTGATCAATACAACAATCAAAGAAAAAAAAGAATTCAATACATACAATAGAAACCAGAGGAACAGAGGAGGAATTGCAGAACAATTATTGAAACTTGCAAACATCTTCTTTTTTTGTTTTTTTAATTCCTTAGCTTTTGGGAGCGAAACGGCTCTTTATCTTCTCCACCTCCTTGGCGCTAATCCTAAAGGCCTTGGAGAGAACGTTATCCGGGACTGGCGGCGAGGCGGAGAAGAGCGCAGTAGCGATGGGTTGTGTGCCTGGAAGCTGGCTGTTGAATCCGGAAATCACGGCGGCGGGTTTATCCCCATTGTTCTTCTGAAAATGAACGAGGCCGCGGGGGAAAACGAAGGTTTCTCCGACTGCGATGGTTTTGGTTATGAGTTTGTTTGCGGTGGTGATGAAGCCCACGTCGAGGGAGCCGTAAAGGACGAAGATGATCTCGGTGGCGCGGGGGTGCGTGTGGGGCGGGTTGAGGCCGTCGGGAGCGTAGTCTATGCGGGCTAACGAGACTCCCAAGGTGTTTAGCCCGGGAATCTTTTCCACGTTGCCGAGCGTCACAACGGAGCCCAGAGTGTTGTTGATCACCGCTGGCTTCGCCAGTCCTTTGAAGGCGAAGTCCTCCGCCGTAACAGCAGCATCCGGCTTGCACACGAAACCGTTCACTTTTATCGCTGATGAAAAATAAAGGTGGAGAAAGATGGGTTAGCATTTAATCAGCTTCTGATTGGTGAATTAAGCGATGCTTACTGGAGTTGAGGTCGGCGACGCATATGTCTTGGAGCAGGTCGGGGTCGGCGGCGAAAGTGGCGGTGGATGCGGCGAGGAAGAGGAGGAGAAGAAGGGGAGCTCTGTTGGGCGGCATGAATCTGTGCTTTTGTTTACTTTGGTTTGGTATGTGGTGGCTTTTGAAGGTGGTGGTTAGGGGAAGGGGAGAGGGAATGAAATTTATAAGATTTCTGTGGGGGTTGGTGATGGAGGAAAAAATATTTGGTGTCGATCCCGCTTTTATGGACAACAACCGCTGCAATTAATCAAAGATCGTATTTTTTTTGGCCCTTCGCTCGATCGCTGTTGATGTCCGTAGGTTTTCGTGCTGAAGAGATGGAATGTGATGTGAGAACACGGGCAAGCAAAATAGTTCTTAGACGTGAAGATAATGGGGACAGAAAGCCAGCTAATTGGAAGCGGAGGGTAGCTGAGTTGAGCAGGTTGATGATTAACCAAGTGCAGCACATGATTAATATTGCCTTGAAAAATTAAGGTACAGAAAATTTAAGATTTTTAATGTCAGAAGACATAAATATGAGTATGCTCTTAGTATGATAAACTTTCAATAAAATAAACTAAAAAATACCTACGAGTAATCAAGATGAGACTTCTGGTTTAATGTGGTGTTGGCGACAGCATTTGAGTGTTCATTAATTTTTGTAATTTAGCACTATGACCCCTTTTTGTATTTGTTTATAGTGATTCCTTTTAACAAGAATATGACTACAAGCATATTCTCACTTTTGGATCAACTGAGTGCATCTCAACCATTTGTCTCTAGAACCATTTATTGTGGATATAGATTGAGCATTCTTTTATTGTACACCCTCTGCTCTGATTTTTGCTCCAATACACTACATAATGGGTTAGCTA